AGAACAGAAAGCAGTGGATGGGGGAAAGAAAGAAGAGTGGTAAGAGAAGGGGGGAAGACGAGAGAGTGGTGTGTAGAAAGAAGGACATGGAGAGAGAGAGATGACCACTGATTACACTGTAAAACCCACAGTGTGTTTCCTGGGTCCTGGTGAAGCTGATGTTAGGGTACAGGCTGTGTCAGGTTACCGTACAGGCTGTGGCAGGTTAGGGTACAGGCTGTGTCAGGTTACCGTACAGGCTGTGTCAGGTTACCGTACAGGCTGTGGCAGGCTACCGTACAGGCTGTGGCAGGATCAAACAGTTAGCGAGTGTCTGCCGTGTTTTTGTTTATTGTAACCTTCAGTGTCATTCCACAGTTTGTTTACATTAGCCGGTTACCACTACAGTATTATAACCGGTTACCACTACAGTATTTCACTATAACCGGTTACCACTACAGTATTATAACCGGTTACCACTACAGTATTATAACCGGTTACCACTACAGTATTATAACCGGTTACCACTACAATATTTCACTATAACCGGTTACCACTACAATATTTCACTATAACCGGTTACCACTACAATATTTCACTATAACCGGTTACCACTACAATATTTCACTATAACCGGTTACCACTACAGTATTATAACCGGTTACCACTACAATATTTCATCATGACAAGTGTACCTTAGAGTGTAACCGGGACGAAGACACCTGAGAGCCATGATGTGTACACAGTGTCTCCGGTACACACAACAAGTAGGTCACGGTGTTTGTATGACTGTGTGGGGCATCAACCTTCAGGCCGTCAGATGATGTGTACAGTCCAGGCCCCGGTGTTGTGGATGAGCGAGGGAGGGAGGGAGCAAACGAGTGAGTTGAGCGAACGAGTGAGTGAAGAGGGAGTGAGTGATTGACAATGAGTGAGTGAGGAGTGAGTGAAGAGAGAGAGAGAGAGAGAGAGAGAGAGAGAGAGAGAGAGAGAGAGAGAGAGAGAGAGAGAGACTCCCCCCAGGCGCTATTATAACAAAAGTATTATATAAATACAGTTGTTATTATTCATGTGTTTTGTTAATAAAAGAGAGGGAGACTCATCCAGGTACAGTAAAACCTCGATATAACGGACTTCTCTCTGAATAAAGTCCACTAGATGGGGGGGTTTCATAACATACCCTCGATATAACGAACAGACTTTCATATCTATATAGTTCGTTAGATGGAAGTTTCAACAACTAAACGGACTTTCGATATAACGGATTTTCCTCTTTATATAGTTCGTTAAATAGAGGTTTTACTGTACTCTCTTGTATATTAATCATGGACTTTTAGGGGGTATAATTTACATCGCAGTGTCAGTTCGCTAGTTCGGCTCCTTCGCCCCCCTCCGGCCTCCCTCGGTCATCCCTCGACACACTCATCCCCCTCAGCCCCCCCTCGGCACTACCTCGATCCCTCTCGGCATCCTTCGACCCTACCCCCACTCCTCGGCACCCTAATCCTCCTCAGCCCCCCCCTCGGCACTACCTCGGTCCCTCTCGGTATCCTTCGACCCCCCCCCCTCGGCACCCGCCCAGCAGTTGATGAAGTAAGGGATTTGCCGAAATGAACAAACAAAATTTCACATGGAGATTTATTTACCTGAAGTTTACCATGAAAACAACAACAACAACAACAAGTGTGTGTGTGTGTGTGTGTGTGTGTGTGTGTGTGTGTGTGTGTGTGTGTGTGTTTTGTAATGAACTAACAAATACATTGACAAAAACACCAATAACTACCTGTAAATTATAAAAAAAAATCGATTATCTTACAATTATTATGATTTTTTAATTCCTATTGATTAAACAAACACACCGTCGAGTGATGTACACGACTGAAACACGATTTTATCTCACCTGATACTGAAGTGAAAATTGGGCTTTTTCATTTAATAATAGGCAGTGCCATATTATTTTTACCGTCACACCCTCAGCCAATGTTCATCAGTGGAAAGAGACAGATACGTGTAGTGTAATAATGAGACAGACAGACAGACAGACAGACAGACAGACATCCACGACGACACGTAAACACTGAAACATTGGGAGGGAGTAGCACAAACGCCCGATATTTAATAGTTAGGAATATACGAATGTTTTTATTTGGAATGTTTTATGTTTATTTATTAATATTGCCGGATTATAGAAATACCGGATGACTTATAGCCGGATTATCGAGCTCCCACTGTATTAAAATAAAGAAATAAAAAATATATAAATTGTAGAAAATATGTCAAATATAAATAATATAATGCCGGTATAAGACATAAAGTAAGTTACAGAAGAGTGTACTTAAATAGCATTAAATCTCTGTACTTCAGTATTTAGAACGTAAGATGTTCTTTTATAGGTACCGTCAGCCAAGAGCGTCGGACGTAAATACTTGGAGCAGTTGCTGCCACCTGTCGACGACTAGCGGAAGTTTAGTCTGTGTAACTTAGTGTTGTCTCGCTAACGCAAAACCCAACTTGGTTCTTATCCGTGTAAGATTCTCAGTAAATGAAAATTACGTATTATTAAAACCGTCACCAAAATACCACCTTACTGTTTAATATAAAGTTAATATAAACCTTAGTTATGAATACAAAATATGATAATAAACTTTATAATAAAAATCTAAATAAAAGATAAAAATACAATTGTGTTTTAAAAATATTTCGGTAAGTGAAACAAAATGTGAATAATTACTATTTATAATTATATAATATGTGTGTGAGTAACGCTATTTTTATTTGTGATTAATTATATTTCCTAGAAACATGATTTTTTTTATACCCCAGCCGTTAATAACACACTGCCTCACCCCACTACAGTATAACACCATACTCGTTCGGCCTTTAAGATGGTGATGCATACTAGAAGCCTCAGTGTCACCCCGACCACCACTAGTGCGTCTCGTCCTGGTCATCTCTGTGTCTCGGTGGATTCGACTGTAATGAACAAAATTAGATTGAAAAGTTGATAATTAAAAGAAATATTGGACACAAAAAAATCAACTGGCAGAGAAAACCATTTTGGGCAAGAGTAGGAGGATCTAGCACCCGTGTTACCGAGTCTGTGGGTTATCACTTAAACATTTCTTACAGTAGGTGCATTACTTGATCTACACCTGTGAGTAAGAGTTCTGTATACTCAAAGATTCCCGCCACATTTAACAGATAGAATAAGACAGCTTCGCAAATATGGCGGCCCTATTGACGTCGAAATTAAACTGAGATTTGACCATGATATTAATTCTCTCAACCACAACCAGGAAGGAAAAATATAACGTTAAAAATCTTGAGAATCCGATTCTGATTCTGGGAAATGAAAAAAGAGATATATATATATATATTACAGTTGCTCCCACTCTCCTTCGCTTCCTTCTCGCTAACGTAAAGTAATCTCGCGGTTCACCAAGCTTGATGTAGTGAAGTAAATAACGCTCTTATTGTGTGCAGGAACACTAGTCTCGTTCTCAACCTAACCGCCTTGTCATTAAAACCAGTGAAATTTATTATTGTTTTTATTTGTTATCATTAAATCAATGAGTTTTATAGAAAGATGGTGGGTGTAAGAGGGTGGTGGGTGTAGGTGGGTGGTGGGTGTAGGAGGGTGATGCGTGTAGCTGGGTGGTGGGTGTAGGTGGGTGGTGGGTGTAGGTGAGGGTGTGAGGTGGTGGGTGTGTGGGGTGGTGGGTGCCAGCTGGGTGGTGGGTGTGGCTGGATGGTGGGTGTGTGTGTGGGGTGGTGGGTGTGTGGGGGTGGTGGGTGTGGCTGGGTGGTGGGTGTAGGTGGGTGGTGGGTGTGGGAGAGGTGGTGGGTGTGTGTGAGGGTGTGTGGTGGTGGGTGTGTGAGGTGGTGGGTGTAGCTGGGTGGTGGGTGTAGCTGGATGGTGGGTGTGTGAGGTGTGGTGTGTGAGGTGGTGGGTGTGGCTGGGTGGTGGGTGTAGGTGGGTGGTGGGTGTGGGAGGGTGGTGGGGTGTGGCTGGGTGGTGGGTGTAGCTGGGTGGTGGGGTGTGGGTGGGTGGTGGGTGTAGGAGGGTGGTGGGTGTAAGAGGGTGGTGGGTGTAGGTGGGTGGTGGGTGTAGGAGGGTGATGCGTGTAGCTGGGTGGTGGGTGTAGGTGGGTGGTGGGTGTAGGTGGGTGGTGGGTGTGTGAGGGTGGTGGGTGTAGGAGGGTGGTGGTGTAGGGTGTAGGAGGGTGGTGGGTGTAGCTGGGTGGTGGGTGGCTGGGTGGTGGGGTGGGTGGGTGGTGGGTGTAGGAGGGTGGTGGGTGTAGCTGGGTGGTGGGTGTAGGAGGGTGGTGGGTGTAGGAGGGTAATGGTGGCTGGGTGGGTGTAGGTGGGTGGTGGTGGTGGTGAGGTGAGGGTGGTGGGGTGGGTGGTGGGTGAAGGGTAGTGGGCCAGTATAAACAACGTCCACCTAACCTAACCTAACCTAACCTACGTCTATACACAAGGTCGTCTTCGAAAGGTTAAACTTACCTTATTGATGCATCATAAGTCACTGGTGGAGAGTTATGGGTCACTGTATGGATCCTCTCATGAGTAACTGTATGGATCCTTTCATGAGTAACTGTATGGATCCTTTCATGAGTAACTGTATGGATCCTCTCATGAGTAACTGTATGGATCCTCTCATGAGTAACTGTATGGATCCTCTCATGAGTAACTGTATGGATCCTCTCATGAGTAACTGTATGGATCCTTCATGAGTAACTGTATGGATCCTCATGAGTAACTGTATGGATCCTCTCATGAGTAATTATGGATCCTCTCGAGTAACTGTATGATCCTCTCATGAGTAACTGTATGGATCCTCCATGAGTAACTGTATGGATCCTCTCATGAGTAACTGTATGGATTCTCTCATGAGTAACTGTGGATCTTCCCATGAGTAACTGTATGGATCCTCTCATGAGTAACTGTATGAATCCTCTCATGAATAACTGTATGATCCTCTCATGAGTAACTGTATGGATCCTCATGAGTAACTGTAGGATCTTCTCATGAGTAACTGTATGGATCCTCTCATGAGTAACTGTATGGATCCTCTCATGAGTAACTGTATGGATTCTCTCATGAATAACTGTATGGATCCTCTCATGAGTAACTGTATGGATCCTCTCATGAGTAACTGTATGGATCCTCTCATGAGTAACTGTATGGATCCTCTCATGAGTAACTGTATGGATCTTCTCATGAGTAACTGTATGGATCCTCTCATGGTAACTGTATGGATCCTCTCATGAGTAACTGTATGGATCTTCTCATGAGTAACTGTATGGATCTTCTCATGAATAACTGTATGGATCTTCTCATGAGTAACTGTATGGATCCTCTCATGAATAACTGTATGGATCCTCTCATGAGTAACTGTATGGATCCTCTCATGAGTAACTGTATGGATCCTTTCATGAGTAACTGTATGGATCCTTTCATGAGTAACTGTATGGATCCTCTCATGAGTAACTGTATGGATCCTCTCATATAACTGTATGGATCCTCTCATGAGTAACTGTATTTGTTGCTGTATCCCAAAAAATACAACTAATTGCATCCTCAGTTCATTCTTGGGTACGTATATTTTGTGTATCTTTTGTTAGTATATTATAGAACATTTACTTAGTACATCGAGGATAATGGAAACAACCACCAAAAATCGACAATGAAAAGTTACAGTAGGTTAGTAATTACTGTTGTAAAATTAATGGACTTACCCCGAGAGTCAATAGGGCGAATAATTATCAGAATTCCAAGTTTGTTACGCCAGATCCTAAATCAGTCTATCAACCAACACTCATAATGAGAGGTTAAATAAAGTCGATATTCTTTTAAATAGGTTTGGAACACCAAGCCTTCGGAGTGCTCACTAACCTGAGCTCCCCGTCAAAGGTAAAACAACAGATTTTTAAAGACCTTTTATGGCCACTAGAGCTCACCAACTCATCTTAGCCAAGTAAGGATCCGAGAAATCCTCAAAGGTATTAACGAAAAAAGAACAAATCCTCACCGTAAAATGTTTTCTCTCCGAAATGAACAAATAAGAAATAAAGAATATAGATTAAAAATAAACCGAGATGAGCAAGATTTCCTTTCATTTTATTTGTGATGATAATCAATAAATAATAAACAATAAACAATACATAGTAAAGTATAAAAGAGAAATATAGATAAATAGTAAATACAGGAAGGAGATATTTTTTAGTTAATTATAAAGATGGTCATTACGTAAAGAGCAGTCAGGTTATTACTACAACGTAAATATGTTTTGTTTTTTTCTTGTATTAAGCTCACCCTCCTTGCCTACCAACCTCCCTCCCTCCCCACAGACAAAATTTCAATTTAAACCCGTTCATTTCAGTTATTCCGCCTGAATACCTTTTGTACAAATAGACTTCGGCGTTTTGGGATTGATGCTTCTCTCTGGTGGTGATAGAGATAAATAACAAGGACTATCGATCAGTGTTAATGTGAGAGGAGGAAGAGAAAGGGCGTATATATTTAGTAGAATGGTGGGAGAACCAGAAAACAAAAGAAGAAAAACACAAACATAGAATGAGAGAGTGGTGATGTAAGAGGAAGTGGAGGAGAGGTGGAAGAGGATAGTGGTGCAGGGAGGAGGAGGAGGAGGAGAAGGATGTTGATATTGGAGGAGGGAGAAAGAGGAAGAAAGAAGAGGAGGAAGAGGAAGAGGAGAAGATGTGTTTACATTTTGAGAGCGGTGGGGACGGCCCATCGGTGTGTGTTAAAGGTGAAAGTTCAAGAGTACAGTGTTGCCAGGTGAGGGGGAGGGGGTGGAGGGGGCTGATCCCATGAATATTTCACCATGTTTACTTCACCCACCTCACTCATCTCTCTCTCTCTCTTCCTACCTCCTCCTCCTCCTCCTCCTCCTCCTCTGTCCTGACCAGCCACCTCCCACCTCTGTCAGCTCTCAGTGTCTCAAACATTTTCAAGGTAACTTATTTATTCACGGACACGCCCCCTCCCCCCTGGTCACACACCTGTTCCTCAATTCTTTCCTCCTGACCATTACTTCCCTGACCACACTCCTTCCCTGACCTCACTCCTCCTGACCACCTTCTCCCCTGACCTCACCTCCCTGACACTACTCTCTTCCTGACCACCTTTTCCTCCCAGGCCACACACACTTCTCCCTCTGACCACATCCCTTTCTCCTGGCCACATAACATCTCCCTCTGACCACATCCCTCTCCTCCCTGACCACACGCCTTGTTGTTCTTTTGAAAATTCTGGCCACTTCGCCTATTGGGTGTCTCGGCCGGAGCTGGTGTTTTGTTTCTTCTTTCTTGGTCTTCTTACACATCACTCTGAAGTTCTTGTTTTTGTTGTTGTTTTCTTGTTTTTGTTGTTGCTTTTGGATTTGGGTTTTTGGTTATGATGGGTGGTGATGGTGGTGATGGGTGGTGATGGGTGATGGGTGGTGATGGGTGGTGATGGGTGATGGGTGGTGATGGGTGATGGGTAGATGGGATGATGTGGGTGGTGATGGGTGATGGGTGCAGATGGGTGATGGGTGGTGATGGGGTGATGGGTGGTGATGTGGTGGTGATGGGTGGTAGATGGGTGGTGAGATGTGATGGGGGTGATGGGTGAGATGGAGGCGTGATATGATGAGTTAGTGACAGTCCAGTCGAGTCCATCCTTCTGTACTCTGACCATTCTTACCCTGATCTCACCCTCTCACCCCCACCCCACCACCTCAACCCCACAGGCCCCCACCTCCCCACACAGACCTCCACCTCCCCACACACCCCACCTCCCCACAGGCCCCAACCACCACAGGCCCCCCATCTCACCAACCCCCACCTCCCCACAGATCCCCACCCCCACAGGCCCCACCTCACAGGCTCCCCACCTCCCACACACCCCACTTTCCCACAGGCCCTCAACCACTATAGCCCCACCTCCCCACAGGCCCCACCTCCCCACACCCCCCATAGGGCCCCCACCTCCTCACAGGCCCCCACCTCCCCACAGGCCCCCACCTCCCCCCACAGGCCCCAACCATCACACAGGCCCCCACAGGTTCCCCACCCCCACAGGCCCCACACAGGTCCCCACAGGCCCCACACCTCCCCACACCCCCACACAGGCCCCCACCCCCCCACACCCCCCCACACAGGCCCCCACCTCCCCACACCCCCCACACAGGCCCCCACCTCCACAGGCCCCACACAGGCCCCCCCACAGGCCCCACACCTCCCCACACCCCCCCACACAGGCCCCCACCTCCCACACCCCCCACACAGGCCCCCACCTCACACCCCCCACACAGGCCCCACCTCCCCACACCCCCCCACACAGGCCCCACCTCCCACACCCCCCACACAGGCACCCACCCCCACAGGCCCGCGTGTGTGTGTGTGTACATCATCTCGCTGTGTTGACTTGTGTTCACCGAATATATCTAATCTTTATGGCGGTGTTGACTCTGGCATTTTCAATCTTTTTGCTCGTCCCAACGAAAAGTTGCCAGTACTTGTCGTGTTGACCCAGGATCTTGCCCCCTACCTCTCCCTTCCTCCCTTCCTTCTTCTCCACCCTCCGCCCCTCCCTAACTCACCTCTACCTTCCGCTTTACGTTTGATATTTATTTATTTATTTATAAGAGTTATGGCGCAGTATGTAGTGTCTACGAAGACTGCTCACTCATGCTCAAGATATTTACGCTACAAATTCGTTATTATTTCATTCTTAAACAGATACTCTGTGATGATGGTGAAACTGTGATGATGGTGAAACTGTAATGATAATGAAACTCTGTTATATTGGTAAAACTCTGTTATGATGGTGAAACTGTGATGATGGTGAAACTGTGATGATGGTGAAACTATGATGGTGAAACGTTAGTCGTGTATCTGAGAGGTGGAGGCTTCATCTCTACCCACCTTCACTTTTACGACAGATCTTCAGCTTTTGTTTACCTAGACGGAACTCATATCACCCCCCACATCTCCCTCCCCACATCCACTCCTACCACCCCACCCACTAATCTCACCCACCCCACCCACTCATCTCCCACCCCACTCCACCCACCCACCCCACACCCACCTCTCATTGTTACACTGTATACTTCACCTGTTTATGTTTACCGAAGATTGCTAAAGTTTGGATCACCTTTACTTAAGTTATCTAGTGGGGATGTTTTTTGGGTCTTTGTTTATACCCATTGGTTGCTTAAGTTCTGATTACTTTTAAAGGTGATTATTTTATTGCTGGTGTTTCGACCATGTATGTGAGATATGGTTCATTCTGGTGTTTTGAGTTCACTGTACATAATTATCTTCTAAAATTGACCCTCATGTAATACCAAGATATCAATTATATTTGTATCTCTTTTAGATGTTTCGTTAAATCAAATCAAACCAGGATATAAATAGCCTCATTAACCGAGATAACCAGATGACTCGCTTAAAACCCACAAGTCTAAAAAAAATGGCATCAAAATTACGCTGAGACTCTACTTTAACTAGTTGCTGTTAGTACCAGTTAAGGGATGATATTAACACTCGAAGTTGTTTATGTATATGGAGTCTGGCTGAGGTGGTGCTGCAGGGTACTATGTACTAGGGTGGTGCTGCAGGGCAACAGGGTGGTGCCGCAGGGCACTAGGTGGTGCTGGCAGGGCACCAGGGTGAGCCGCAGGGGTACCAGGGTGGTGCTGCAGGGCACTAGGTGGTGCTGGCAGGGGCACCAGTGGTGCCCAGGGGTACCAGGGTGGTGCTGCAGGGCACCAGGGTGGTGCTGCAGGGCACTAGGGTGGTGCCGCAGGGGTACCAGGGTGGTGCTGCAGGCACCAGGTGGTGCCGTGTGGGCAACAGGCAGCTGCAGGGCACGGTGGTGCTGCAGGGTTACAGGGTGGTGCCGCAGGGGTACTAGGGTGGTGCTGCAGGGGCATACAGGGTGGTGCCAAGAAGGTTCAGGGTGGTGCTGCAGGGGTACTAGGGTGGTGCTGCAGGGGCACTAGGGTGGTGCCAGCAGGGGCAATTCAGGGTGGTGCTGCAGGGGCACTAGGGTGTGCTGAGGGGCACCAGGGTGGTGCTGCAGGGGCACTAGGGTGAGTTGCAGGGTAGCCAGGGGTGGTGCTGCAGGGGCACTCAGGTGGTGCTGCAGGGCACTCAGGGTGGTGCTGCAGGCACCAGGTGGTGCTGCAGGGGTACAGGTGGTGCGCAGGGCACTAGGTGGTGCTGCAGGGCACTAGGGGTGTGCTGCAGGGGGTGGCCTA